TATATATATATTATGTAGTACATAAACGAAAGAACGAGAAGGAGGGACATACATACTGAAATAAACTAGTGAATTATATATATATGTGTGTGTGTGTGTGTGTGTGGGTGTACATATTAATATGTATGTATGTATATATATATATCCGCGATTACGCATACATGTACAGACACATACAGATGCATCAGCACCTAATGGAAGTGTATATAATATAATGTAAATATTATATATATTATCGCTATGTATAGACGATTACAATCAAATGAGTCAAAACAAGAAAAAAATCAATCATCTCAATAACAATTAAAAGAAGAGTTTTCCAGCCCTTCTATATCGCTGTGAATGCTGGAAAATAAAATAGAAGCAACAGAATTGTTATTTCATGGACAACTGTTGAGAATTTCATGGAAGGCTTTATTTTGCGGCGCTCAAAGGCAATGAAAAAGAGACAAAATGCAGTTTCGGGACCATTTGACTCGACGTAAAAGCCTTGGACATCTTGTCCTCAGTCTAAGAATAAAAGGCAAACGAGGCAGGCGTAGATCAAGAACAATGTAATCAAAGAACCTGAACAGAGTGAACAGATGGGTGACGAGCAAAGACAAGAATACTACAGTTTTTTTCTGAAAGCATCCAGGCAAAGAAATTAATGGCGATCACGATTATCTCGATATCTTTCTCTGGTACTGATGGTGATGATGATGATGATGATGATGATGATGATGATGATGATTATGATGATGATGATGATGATGATGGTGATGATGATGATAAATAGACTAGCCTCAATTTTTAAAAATAATTAGCCCCTTGGCCTGGCTCGCTCTGAGTCACTTCCGTCTAACCTGTAACAACACGTAATCTTAAGACCCTCTTTGTTAGGCTAATTTCCCTGTGCAAGTGTACAGCGCTCATTTAGTTTTTCTCTCAGTTGCTCCCGAGGAAGCCCAAGAGGCAAAACGTTTAGATGTGTCCCTAAACCATTTTAAAACATTTTATATTGTTATGTTATTTTGTCTGAAATTCAAGCAAGACTCTCCCTCCTACTCTGCTTTCCAAACAATGATGATGATGATGATGATGATGATGATGATGATGATGATGATGATGATGATGATGATGATGATGATGATGATGATGATGATGATGAT